AACATAATCTCCTTTTAAATTCGATACTCTTTTCTCATCGATACTCTAACCTCTTTAACCCCTCCAAATAGTAGTTGGCGTTTTGTTCCGCAAAATAGACGTTTATGTATGCGATGACCTCCTCGTTCGATGAAAATCTCTGTTCTCCAAGCGAAACTTTAAGCTTAAGAAACAGGAAAAAGTCGCTCGGGGCCAGATCTGGTGAATACGGTGGGTGGTCAACCAATTCGAAGTGCAGTTCGTGAATTTTGGCCATGGCGACCGCCGAAGTGTGAACAGGTGCGTTGTCTTAATGGAACAGCACTTTCTTCTTCTTCAAATACGGCCGTTTTTTTGCAATTTCTGCCTTCAGCTTATCAAGTAATAATGCGTAATACGCTCCCGTTATTGTCTTACCTTTTTCAAGATAGTCGATACACACAATTCCGTGACTATCTCAAAAAACAGTCACCATTACCTTCCCAGCTGATGGAACCGTCTTCACCTTTTTCGGAGCAGGTTCACCCTTTGCAGTCCACTGTTTTGACTGTTCTTTTGTCTCTGGAATGTAGTGGTGGATCCAAGTTTTATCTACAGTTATGACGTTATGATCTACAGTTATCGACGCAAAAAATCTGACTCGTTTCTTGAACCGCTTCAACAGGGCCTTGGAAATGTTCATTCGAATTCGTTTTTGGTCCAAAGTGAGCAAGCGCGGCACCCAATGCGCGGATAGCTTGCGCATATCCAATTCTTCAGTCAATATATGACAAACGCGTTCTTTCGATATGCCCATAACCTCTACTATCTCTTTAACCTTGATTCGACGGTCGTCCAGTACTATTTGGTGAACATTTTCGATGTTATCAGCGGTGGTCGCAGTTTTTGGCCGTCTCGAACGCTTATCATCAGCCAAAGCTGGTACGACCACGTTTAAATTCAGCTGCTCATCTTTTTACGGTGGCAAATGATGGGACAGAGTCCCTAAATAGCGTCCAACTCGATTTTAATTTGCGCATGCATATTGCCTTTCAAATGTAAGAATTTAATTACGGCACGATATTCAATTTTTTCCATTTTTACAAAAACACTAACATCGACTGACGTAAACGACTGTCAAACAACAACTGAGCGTCCAAATGGCTGAAATTTTCACAAAAGTTTTTCAAAGCATATACTATTGTAGTACTAGAATGGTTTTGACGAGTAACATCATGTTAAGGCTCAAAACTTTTTAGACTACCCTCGTACGTTTTGTCTTTTGCTTAAACGCCGTTCAAACTTGTTAACCGGCCAAAAATAGGCGTTCAGAATGAACATCGTTTAACTGACTTGAACTTGTACTAAAAACTTGATGGAAAACAAAATGTGTTGATCGGAGTTTAAACTTGGTTCAAATTTTGAACCACGTTGGAGGAAACAGAGCATAACGGAAATGTATAAAAATACTTTAAAAAAATTGATTAAAAAATATCAAAGTTAATGCCAAAATTGTACAAACGCGTAATAAAATGTTTGTATTGTAAAAATATGTTAATAGCAAGTGTATATTCTGAGAAGATTCATCAAAGAATATAAAAGCATATATATTTCCTTTACATATATTTAAAATACACAAAAAAATATACTTGATATTTTTTTCTTTATATTGAAACTGTGTTCTCTCATAAAGAATTATATTATTATATGAAAAATATATATAAACATATATATATTTTTTAATTGAACTAAATATAGATATAGATGTAAGGTTCAAAGGAGTAGTACATGCGCAATACATGATGCTGATTCTAGCTAGAATTGCTTCTCTTCCTATTCTCATCTCCAGGAAGTATAGCAGAAGACTACATGGGTGAACCGCTAGAGAACCGGAGCAACCTTGCTGGAGATTGGATAACCAACCCCAGTGGAAGACAGAATCAGCGCTGGCAAGGAAGGGAGAATTGGTCCTCCGAAAAGGGGATTGGGCTATGGGCTAATAGTCATTCTCGAAAAACTTATTGTTACGAACCCTCTAAAGAAGCCTCGGAAAGAACAGATATACAGACAACTTAACGGAATATGGAATTTTCTTTGAGTGCTTCAAATGCGAGAACAATGTACAGACTAGGAGCATAAAAAGACCTATTAAAGATACTAAGGAAATATAGATGGATGGGAATTAGATCTAAAGGCAGATCAAGGAAGAAATGGGAGGATAACATCGCGGAGGATACGAAGAAGGCAGAAATTGATAACTGGAGAAAAGTAGCGAGGGATAGAAATGAGTGAAGGCGCAGGTTGAAGAAGCGAGGCCTGATTTGGACTGTAGAGCCATTGGAAGGAGAGAGAGAGAGAGAGAGAGAGAGAGAGAGAGAGAGAGAGAGAAAGAGAGAGAGAGAATATAGATATAAATATGTATCAGACAATAAAGTATTTGAACATATACATAAATATTTTCAAGCACAATATTTTATATATTATCCAACAAAATGTTAGCAAAACGTCGGCAGATTGGCAACAGATTTGATCAAAAAATGTTAGCAGGTTGACTTCATCTGAAGTCTGCATTCTGCTCTGATATTCTATGCCAACATATTGACAGCAGAAATCGAGTAGACGTAGTTCTGCGTATACAGAACAGAGCCTACTTGATTTCTGCTGCCAGTCTGTTGTCATCTCTATTGTTACATCAGGCTTTGCTCAGTTCCTGTCGTCAATATGTTAGCATAGCATGCTATGTCATATTTCTGACAATAGTTTGTTGACATCGTTAGATATTACAAATCTTATTTGAAATTTGCTACCTTTCTTGCCATAAAAAGTTGATAGCATATTACTCAAAATCTTTGTAGGCTTGGCTATTAGTTATCTATAATGTAATATTAAAAATATATCTAGAATATACTTCCATGATATTCATTCTAATATTCTCAAAATTTACATAAGCTTAGAGTAACCAGGTACTCATATATGCAATCTTCTTTCAAATGCTATTTTTTTCTCACTTTATATTTTTCTTGTAACATATATAGATTAAAAAAAATACAAGTAGCATATTTCCAATTTAGATATAATTTAAATAAAAATTGAAAGGAAAAATATGATAGAAATTTAATTATTTTGGTCTTAGCATCCTTATAATATGGACAATTTTCTCATATATCCAAGTGTGAATGATGTATTCTTTTTATTGTGATACACAATCTTATGTCTTATTTGAAATTAATATTTAAACACAATAATAATACACTTAAATACGCTCGATAAATTTCCGGTTTATAAAGTAATATTGAGGCAAGAATATTGCTTGCCAGCTACTACTTTTGTTATTACAATAATTATAAATATATACAATATCGAAATAATACATTTAATATAATACAAAAGGCATTGCGTGCGATCGTATAACATATGCAACAATTATCATACAATATAGAGATATCATATACGTCAATTAATACGTAAAACATACAAATAAAAGTAACAATACTTAATTGGAAATCCATTCAAAATCATTTTTCAAGAATATTATTCAGATCTGTATATAGAACTGTATTCGCATCATATATTGTAATTTTCATATCCGATTTACGATGTCATATAATAAAATATAAATAGCCATACAAATAAGATGGTAAAAATTTGATACTAAATTTGATATTAAAAATATAATTTTTTTATTTATAATTCACGATTTTGTGAAAAATTCTGTGAACAATTCTGTGACATGTATTCTTTGTAAATGATATATAAGAATAATATAAAATGTAATCTAAAAAGATTTTAGTTTCGCGGATATTTTTTAAATTATATATAATTATCTTCAGTTTTTTTGGAACATCTACATCTCGGATTCAAGTCCAAATTTTAATCAAATGACAGAATATAAAATAGAAGATCAAAAACGCTTAAGACTTTCATCTTCTATTATTTCATATAAAGTGCTAATAAATTTTATTATTAGAAAAATTACGTATGTGTGTGCGTGTGATGTATATACATCATAAACATATTAGATAAATACTATTGAATTTATATTAAAATAAATATTGGATGCGAATACGGTTTGCTTTCGCTTGGATCACCTTTGGCTCTTTGTTACATTTTTATATAGTTGTAAATAATTATAATCCCTGTCATTTACAGTCAAATCTCTGTATTCTTGATCTGTTCTTAATTTATTGCTTCTTTATTTCACATTTATTCGTGTATACACACACACACACGCGCACACACACACACACACACGCACGCACGCACGCACGCACGCACGCACGCACGCACACAGTCAGCAAAAGTTAGTAGAATGTCGGCAAACTGGCAACAGATTTAATCAGAAAAT